TCCGCTTGAATATGAGATTTCATTTTAAGCTACGTATGGACTAACCTTTATCTCGATTAGTTTCTTTTTCATTCTGATTATTGCTGAGACATCGAAGTCTGACTGAGCTAAATGAACGCATTTTTCAGGGAGCTGATAACCAGGTGAAAACGGATTGCCGAGTGAGAGCTTCAATTCAACCTTTGAGGGTAAGAGTTTGTGGATTTTAACCCATATTGAGTTGAGTTTCAGTTTGAGCACTTTCTTTCTTTAAATTACATCGTGTATTAAACAGATCATTACGACCTCAAGTGAATCTACGCCGTACTAGTAAGCAGTTTACCTTCCCGATTTTCTTTCGGTGGGTTGGGGTCGGCTGCACACAGGCTAAATTAAGCATGAAACTTCAAAAATGCGTTCCTAAGGGTAAAGAAAATCGCTCATAGTCGACTGATCGATTAAATTTACCGAGTTTGTCGAAATTATTCGACTAAAATCGGGTCATGTGTTTGTGCAACGTTTTAAATCGAAGTCCTGATAAAGTCCTGATACGCGATAGATCGCTTAGAAGCATGACTCGATAAGAAACTAAAAAATTAAAACAGGAGGGCTAACCAATTTAGTATTCAACGTCTGTGAAAAAATCGCTGAAGTAATTTTTAGCTTCTGCCAAGGTAACGGTAGTCTCATTCTTAGCTTCCTGTGTACAATCTCCCCAGCACCTCGTGCTATTTTGTATTTCCCGTTCATGCTGTATATATTGTGCTTCCCTTGTGTATCTACTGCCACGTCGATCTCCTGAGTCTCTATCCACATTATATATGGCAATGTGAAATAAGTTACATGTGAACAATTTATATCCTGGATGTAAAAGGATAGTTGTAGTGAGGACATAAAACTTATCGGTGATGAACATTAAACCAGTATGTTGTGTCTTTATTCTAAGGCCTCTTCTGTCAGATTAATTGATGATTCAAGTTGCTTACCTTTTATGAGGAAGCTAAAATTTCCAAATCTCTAATTGCATTTAAGAGACTACGGGGAGAATCGCCTGTGTATATTACTCGCCTTTTAACACGTAATATGGTGATCTTCACTCGCGTAACACTACGAATGCAAACTAAAACTAATAATTAGTATGCCGAAAGTTTAAACGTAAATTAGACGGCGGTAAAACTTCCAATGCTACCACATGTCAACCATGGAACAGTTTACCTATCACCTTACAACAAAATGACATCAGTACAAAGTTTTTTAAACTGAGGCCTTGAGGCAATTTTTTCTCGGAAACCAAACAGTTGGAAGCATTCTATTGTTTAATAGGTTTCTTTTTTATAGTTTCTTGACTCTGTCATTTGGTCCTTATATGTAAGTTTATATGCCTTTTGGCTACTAATTGCTACTCTCTTTAAATAAAGAGTTTACTTACTTACTCACCTACTTTGGTGTTTATCAATGTCATCGATAGGAGTCTTTGCAAAAAATCGGCTTCGGTTGATAATTATGTCTCAGGATAATATCATACGTATACAGTGATTTCCTTTAAAAATCAATTTATCATACTGAAATATTATCGAGGCCTAAAAACGCATCGATGTAAGAGTAAACATATAATTAGATTGAGTTTATTTCAAAAATTTTGCCATAGGTTAAACAAGACTGAAGTGTAAAGGAGTATTATCATATGCATTATTTTGGTGAAATTCTGAATCCGCAGAAATTCTTTTTTCCCGGATGCGATCAACCTTTATCTTCTCCTTACATTATTTAAACATTTGAATACATTGTAAGACACGCTGGTGATTGTAATTAGTAGACCATTGGCCAAAAGGCCGGGAATACTGCCCTAAATTCCCCTAGCTTACATACCTGGAAAGTTTCTGACCGGCTAGAAGGGAGAAATTTTACTCGGATTTCTGTAAGAAAATGCCAATTTGATTTTCATACTACGCGATTCATATCTTCACGATCACAGCCATATGTCAAGCTTTTTAATGACACGCAAAAGTAGATTTGAAGAGCATTTGCAAGCAATTTTAATAGCGCAACCAGTGTTCCAGAGGTATTTAAATCTAGTTGAATGTAATACGCTTGCTGGCCTTGAGATGTAACGGACATTTTTGGAAGTGTGGATAAAAAGTTGAGATATTAAAATCGAACATCAAACTTACTGAAAATTTTGTCTGGGTCAATTGGTTTTTTCAATCGGATATCTTATTCATTCTACCAGCGCTGAACCAAGGAGGCTGACGAACAAGCAGCGACCAAATTTCTTGGTTAAAGATTCATTGACCTTTACTCAATTAACGATCCAGTATTTCCTCATGGCCACCGCTGATTCGACAAAAGAGACAACCAATTACGCCCGCTTATGCAGGCTTCTGGTGGGTGTCAGTGCACATATCTTGAGAGAGACATTTGACAAAAGGCGTCCACCAGGAAACCTGGACACAGTTTTGTCCAGTCCTCCGATTCGTCGAGTACTAAAATCACTCCGAAATAAAAAAATACTCAATCCTTCACAATGGGACAAACTGTACCCCGCCATCAAGTCTTCTGTTTCATCAAAGAATTTCGATATCACGCTACTGATGGTCCTGCTGAGGAACATTTGTGGTCTTGCTCCTCCGGCTACCGGCTGGGACACACTTCCTCCTGCAGCAGACACAACCCTTGAGGCAGATATCGTTCGTATCAAGTGCTACAGAAACACAGTTTACGGTCATGCCAGCGAGGCCTCAGTTGATGACGCAACCTTCAATCGATACTGGCGGGACATCCTGGATGCATTGATGAGACTGGGAGGAGCTGGTTACCAAAGTGCTATCGATGATCTGAAAGAGGAATGCATGGACCCTGATTTCGAAGAACACTATAAAGAGCTTCTTAAGCAGTGGGTGATGGATGAAGTCAGCATCAAAGAAAGATTGGATGAAATGACAGAGCTATTAAAGGAAGGTATTGTGTATTAACGGTAAAATCTGTACACGGCCTTTCGATCTTTCTTGAAAAAAGAAGAAGATTGAAGGGCCTCTCATCAGAGGGTAATAAGAAATTTACCTTTGAAAATAGCTCAAACTCGGAAAAATATTTTCTACTGGAACTGACCCCTTCCTCTTGGACCCAAAATTGGAAAAAGACCAGGTGTTGTCTTTTCCATGCTTTTTTCGGGTGATGAGCAAGTAATTTCTTTATTTTTTTGTTCCTCATGCGGGAAGTTAAGAGAATTAATAGTTGAAACAGATTCACTACAAAAGTGGTTGCACCAAAAAACTGCAGTTAAGTCTTAAAGTATTTACCTGGTCGGGCTTGTCGAAAGAAAGAGACGGAAAAAACTAAAATTCTTAATGGACTGGAGATGACAGGACGCTTTCTTTCCCCTAAGTGGACTTAGGCCATTCTTAATCTCCAGCCCTAAAAACAAAAACCATGTGTTTTCTGAGTCAAAGTTAGTTTCTCCCGTACCACAAATTCCTGGATCCGCTCCCGAAAAGGGTCGGTTATATTAGTATTGGTAATCACATGATTTCGAGTACAATTTACGATAAAACAGCACAAGTAAATATTTGAAATGGGAACAAATTGCACGAACCTGTAGGGTGAGTACAATTTGTAGTTATTGAAAAATTAACAAATGTTGATTTATCCCGAATTCCACTAGAAAAATCATGCGATTACTTGTTAATAATATATTACCCAAATATGACTCTGTTTTCCTCTCTAGTCGTTTTTTTTTTCGTGTCATGGCTCACACTCGATAAGCTGGAAACCACTCCGCTTCGCGTCGTGGTTTCCTACGTTTAT